TATTATTCTTTGTATATCAAACTAACAACTAACTAGAGACATGCACGTAGGTATTATATTTCTTAAATAACCATATTTCAATGAATATCAGACATGACCCCATTGAGAGGGCTTATGAGGCGCGTAACTTGGGCCTACTGATGGACGTAGACCTCCGGTTTATGAAGCACGTTCCTGAGATAGTCCGCCATAGCTTCTATCGCTTGAAGATCTTATACCATGTCCGCGATTATCTTAGTGAAAAACTTCGGATTCAAATAGTTGAGACGCTGATCCTCTCGAAATTAAATTATGCGGACGTAGTATACGGACCCAGAATACCTACATCAACTAGGCGCAGATTCCTTTTTTTTCCAACCTTTTCTAGTAACCTGAAAGGGGTTATACTAGATTCAGAGAACTAGTCGGTTAGCTCACGGGGCTCTAACCTGACGACGTTGCTAACACTGTCCCTAGCAAGAGCAGTGCTTAGCAGAATCTACCAGCGGATGGGAAACGTGACCCACTGGGAAGATCCAGCGGCAAATTCAGTGGGCATCGCATATTCAGAGAGTACAGAATGCATGTATGAGGTTCCGCTTTAGCATACCACCACGATCTCATGTTACGCCGATAATAAATCAAAACAAAATGTTGAATCTTAGGTTGAGAATGAAGTTGTTTGTTATTTAGTTTAGACTTGATTGTTATTTGGAGTTGTATAATTGCAAACGCCAAATTATTTGCATCTTATGATGACTTATTTAGTAGATGGCGGTAGGCAATCGCGTCAACGCTTCCAAGTGTTAGAGACTCCTAGACACTGCTTTGCTGCTTTAAGAGGTAGCTTCCGTTACTTGGCCTCTAAATGTTGGAACAATATTCCTCCACCCATCCGGAACCAGAGGATAATAAGTTCTTATAAAACAAATTTAAAGAAGATATACTATTTTCTGAATACACAATTAAAATTCGAAAATATTAATTGTAATCATTCGGTCCTATAATTGTGCATTGCTGTAATTTTTATTTTATTAATTATTAATTTAATATATTTCATTTTGTTGTCCCTTTTCAGTAGCTTTTTTTTTTTTATAATTCACATTGCTGTGGACTTATTTCTGAACAAACTATAACATGTTTCAAATAAATCAATAAAAAAAGGATTTGCTGAACTCAAATACATAATAATTGGTCAGTCTGATGCTGGTGTTCCCCTCACTCCACAGGTACTGGCGGAAGATCAGTGCCGCAATACCCTAGCCCAGTGACGCTGATATGGTCTCTCAAGACCATCAGCTAGGTAGGAAAAATAAAAAATAAAAAAGCCGTAGTTTGAGTAATAGTATTGTTAAGTTAGGCATTGGTGAGCTGGTAACCCTTTCCAAGCCTTCTTATTTTTGTTTTTTTTTTTTTGTAATTTATGTTTGGAATAAATGTTTAATATCATTTATAAGCTCGTTGGCAAATATTGAAAAGTAGCGTCCAATACCCAATATAAAGTCAATCACGTATCTCCAATGCGAATATAAAATCATGTACAAAGCTCTGTACTGTAAAGAAAACCACACAAAGTAAAGCTTAGGATAGATAACGGACGATCGTATTATGTGGCAAACCGGATGATAGATTAGTACGGTGCTTGAGCACACCAGAGCCGAACTTAGTGGGGGACATGAGTAAATATAATTATAATTTTATACCAGTGAAATTTAATCGAGTCTTCTGCAATAAAACCATTGAAATGTAATGCTTTAAATGTAGTCAAGGAGTCAGATTTTTGCATTTGCATTCATGTGCCGACGAGTTTAAGAATCATCTAGTGTTAAGTGGTTATATTGGACATACTTATATGTATTTGAGAGACATAATAGTGTCGAGTTAAATACCGCATATCCAACCAGCTTTTTTTTTTTTTCCTACCTAAGCTGAGAGCCTTGAGAGGCTATTTCAGCGTAACCCTAACGTTTGTAGGTGAGCTCACGGGGTTCAAACCTGATGACGTTGCTAACACGAACCCTAACAAGAGCCGTGCTTCGCAGAATCTACCACCGGATCGGAAACGCGACCCACTGAGAAGATCCGGCGAGAAACTCAGTGGGCTGTGTCTCCAGATCGGAATGCTGACCCACTGAGACGATTCGGCGAGAATGGGCTGGATGATAGACGAGAATGGTTGTCTATTGGATTTTAAATAATATGAATGTGGTAATCTGTTCACCTCATACTTCCCACCCTTTTTCATAAAGTTCAATGATAACTATTAATGTTCAATCTATGTTCATATTTTTAAATTAATTTTAATCATATAAGGCATATTATATTATATGACTTATTGTAACTTATATTTGAAGTGACGTCACTTATTATATGTATGTTTGATCTACCTAATAATACAATGTCAGTCGAAAGTAGATCAGGTAGCTATGTCAGGCAGCTTGTTTTAGGTACATACACATTATTGACGATATAATCTATACTAATCTATACTAATATTATAAAGAGGAAAGATTTGTTTGTTTGTTTGTTTCGAATAGGCTCCGAAACTACTAGACCGATTTGAAAAATTCTTTTTCCATTAGAAGCCGACATTGTCCCTGATGAACATAGGCTACTTTTTTTTTATTTTATTTTTTTGGTTTCATGTGTGTTTTAATGTTTCCGAAGCGAAGCGAGGGCGGGTCGCTAGTCTGCAATAAAACCATTGAAATGTAATGCTTTAAATGTAGTCACGAGTCAGATTTTTGACTTTGCATTCATGTGCCGACGAGTTTAAAAATCATCTAGTGTTAAGTGGTTATATTGGACATACTTATATGTATTTGAGAGACATAATAGTGTCGAGTTCAATACCGCATATCCAACACTTGTAGGTTTTTATTATGTATACATACATTCCTATACAATAATTATTTTTAACACCGGGTCTACTGCGGTCTATATTACAATACATTTTAATTATTCTTTTCTCTAACTACTCGCTAGCCTAAGGAGCTATTCTGAGAGAATTGCTAACGCTAGCCCTAGCAGTGCCTCGCTAAATCTACAACCAGATCGGAATGCTGACCCACTAAGAGGATTCGGCGAGAATGGGTTGTGTCTATTGGATTTTCAATAATATGAATGTGGTAATATGTTCACCTCATACTTCCCACCCTTTTTCATATAGTTCAATGATAACTATTAATGTTCAATCTATGTTCATATTTTTAAATTAATTTTAATCATATAAGGCATATTATATAACCTATATGACTTATTGTAACTTATATTTGAAGTGACGTCACTTATTATATGTATGTTTGATCTTCCTAATAATACAATGTCGGTTAAAAGTAGATCAGGTAGCTATGTCAGGCAGCTTGTTTTAGGTACATACACATTATTGACGATATAATCTATACTTAATATTATAAAGAGGAAAGATTTGTTTGTTTGTTTGTTTCGAATAGGCTCCGAAACTACTGGACCGATTTGAAAAATTATTTTTCCATTAGAAGCCGACATTGTCCCTGATGAACATAGGCTACTTTTTTTTTATTTTATTTTTTTGGTTTCATGTGTGTTTTAATGTTTCCGAAGCGAAGCGAGGGCGGGTCACTAGTAATTATGTAATACAGCTGTTGTGCTAACCGTGAAATCGAATGCATCGCGACATTAATAGTTAGAATTGTATTAGTCGGGCGGGCATACAACATGCCCTACCGCCAAAAATTACGTTGACTAGATGAATTATAAATTTAATAAAAAAATATGTTTTTAAATAAATGATTGAAGTCTGATTACGCGCTCAAACCAAACCACAGCATATCTTATATCGGCTGCCCAAGGGAGGAATCCTTCACTTTGCTGATATAAGTATAAACCGCCGATATATTTTAGAAACGTCTGCGACGAACGAAATACACAGTTGATAGTTTTGCAAACAGAATTTTACTTTACGGGCGGATATTCCAGATTTGAGCGATTTTGAATTTAGTACTTTATAAGGTTTTCGCGACCTAATTAAAACTCCTTTTGCGTGAAGTTGTTGTACTGGCAACACACTTCTAGACCTCAAGATATAGTTAATTAAAAAAATTAAAAATAAAAACCTATTAGTTAATCTGTGTGAAATTAAGCGTGAAAGTCAAGATATAATTTTATATTGAAATTACGACCCCTAATCGTCCGTGACGGAAAGTATTCGACAAGTTAACAGACATTAAGAATCGCGGTATTCAATTTGTAAAATAGTTTTAATTGTAACTTGAATTTTAATTATTGTATTACAAATGCGACTATTTATAGGATAGGTATCAATTTACCTATTGCTGCTCTAAATAGAGACAAAAACGTTATTCGATATTTATTGTCTTGCTATAAATATTGCATTGTATTGCTATAAATATTTACATGCAATACAATATAACAATAGAAATATTATATTTCGAATTGGGACCAGTTATTTCCTTTGTCATTGTGGTTAGCCATTTTCGGGCCTATTTTTGTTTAATGTTTTTGTATTATTAATAATATGGAAGGGGGTAATGAAGTGATTCAAACAAATGTTGCTTTCAAACTACAAAAAAAAACCTCAATTTATAAGAGACAACGAATGTTATGCAGTCCAAATTTTAAGCCAGTGTATTTTTTCTATTCGATGATAGATGGCGCAAATCGAGAAATATACGTTTTATTAGTCACCAATAGATGGCGCTAGCTTAAAAAATTACAAGACGCTAGTGTGATATTATGAAACTTAAATTTGGAAGTAATTTAATTTATTTATACTTAACCTCTTACACTTATAGGTAGGTGATAACAAATGATAAAGTTTAAGTAACAATTTATCTCTGTAAGCTATTTTCCTATCGCTTTTATGTGTAGTTGGTGTCAACGGTATGAAATATAAGTTATTTGGTGTCACTATATTGATAAAAGGTCACTGATGTTAGTGTGTCTAATAAAATTAAATTAGGGAATTTTAATGTTCTTATATTTCGTGTATGATAGGTCGAATTATAGGAAAAATCACTTACCTTGCATGTTCCCTGTACACATATTGCTCTAAAGCCTGGCTTAGTACACGGGGTGCCGTCAGCAACTAGAGCGAGAGAAGCGTAGAACTGCTGGCCACGAGGTCTACAATTCAAGGTACATGGCGCGTCTCCTAAAATAATAATTGCCAGATATTAATAGGTACATGCTAGATTCAATTAGATAGAAATATTTAATTATCATCTATACTAATATTATAAATAGGAAAGATTTGTTTGTTTGTTTGTATTGAATAGGCTCCGAAACTACTGAACGGATTAAAAAAAATCTTTCACTGTTTGGAAGCTACACCATTCCCGAGTGACATAGGCTATAATCTTTTTTGAAGAAAATTAGGGATCCTTAATAAAACGCCAATAATGTAACCCAAGGTGTAAAAAAATTACCTACAACATTCTTTACATCGCGTGCCCTGGGAAAACTATTTATGATAAAATAAAATAATGTACTAGGACTTTGTAGAAAACATTATTATTTACAAAAAGCGTCACGGCAGCATATGTCTAACTATTATAGTTACGCCGCAATAAGTGTTCTTTTGTTTAAAAAAATTAAACAACGTCAAATATCGTTGAAATTTTTGTTTAAAGACCCGAGCGGAGCCGGAGCGTGCCGCTATTAAATAATATAATAGATTAGAAACAAAACAAAAACGCGCCTAAATTCTACGCCGAAGTGACAACCGATTTCATATTTTCTTATCCTGTTGATACAGTTCAGACTGTTAGACCGGTCGTTTATTAGTTAATCGGAGGTATTTAAGTCAGTGGAAATGACGTCCAAAGATTCCGCTACATACAAAAAAATGTACAATATTCACAATTTTGTTCTGCGATATATTTTTTAATTTTTTTTATTGCTAAGATAGGTGGACGAGCTCACAGCCCACCTGGCTAAGTGGTTACTGGAGCCCATAGACATCTACAATGTAAATGCGCTACCCACCTTGAGATATAAGTTGTAAGGTCTCAGTATAGTTACAACGGCAGCCCCACTCTTCAAACCGAAACGCATTACTGCTTCACGGCAGAAATAGGCGGGGTGGTTGTACCTACCCGTGCGGACTCACAAGAGGTCCTACCACCAGTATTCCAAAATTCCGGTTTGAAAAACAGCCGTTACGCAGCACGATTTGAGATTTCCACCTCATGTTTCAATTTGGCGGGCACAATTTGCGTTGTTATGTGTATTTGGTCTGGTACCCACCTTGATGAAGCGATGTACTCGATAAAGCAATGAAAAACAATTCTTACCATCGACATATGGCACCCAAGTATAGAATCGACCTCGGAACGGTCTGCGATCGTAGACAGCGCATTGCTCGGCTCGAACGTCTCGTTGTGGTCCCGAGCATGGCTGTAAAAGAAAGAAGTGCTTTATAGAAAATCCAACTAAAAAATAGAAAATAAATTTTAATAAATTTGAATTAAAAATAGTGTAAGAAAAAATGATTTTATTGTAAAAAAGGCAGTTTTTTTAAACTAAAAGAGTTAATCCGACGTTTTGAAGGGGATCAAAATCATGTTCAAAGATTCCGTTACAAACATACAAACTAACATACAAACGTCTGAAGCTAATAAAAGCGTATTAAAAATACTTTAACCTTTCATTTATTACGCACATGAGTGACTTCTTCTTCGTATTTTGGCGAGAATTACAAATGCAATCCCTAAATACGGAATTTGGGAGGGACACCTAGCATTTGAAAAACATGTGCAATATTCCATAATTCCAGAATTCGAATTTATAGTATCCAAATATTGTTAGCCTAATATCAAAAGCGTGCCGAATGAATCATTCTTAATTCACCGTGACAGTAGCGCTAATGAGGTTTACTGAAATGCACCTACCGCAGTATTGCACTCGTGGTACCTCCGCGCGAGGCCTGGACAATCCGGCTCTGTGGCAGGGCCGTGGATCAAATGCCGAGACCGTCTTTTGTGCTCGAAGTTTCTCGTTAGCTTCCTTCTTTTTCGACTGCGACGCGTTCTGAAAAAAAAAAGCAAACAAATTTGAGTTTTCTCAGAAATGAGACAAAACGTAGACACGTCATCAATATTAATGCACACTTATTTAGTTTAGTTTCTGATTGTTCAGCTGCTTTTAAGTAGCACAACAAAAAAATCACTCGTCTTTTAAATATTGTATCGATTAACAATTTTCGACAATTAGCTCGCTCGACGCTACGATCCTTTTCATATATTGGAAGTGATTATATTATCTAGTTTTCCGTGGCCACGAAAGCTGTAGATATTCAAAAACATCAATATTGTAAAGGGATATTTGGATAATGGCTTGCGGTCATCGTTCTTGTCGAACCCGTCGCTTGCGATAAAGGGCTCGGCGAGTAAATTAACCCACAGACACAGCCCACTGAGTTTCTCGCCGGATCTTCTCAGTGGGTCGCGTTTCCGATCCGGTGGTAGATTCTGCGAAGCACGACTCTTGCTAGGGTTAGTGTTAGCAACACTCTTTAAGCAACACACGTTAGGGTGAAGCTGAAATAGCCTCTCAAGGCTATCAGCATAGGTAGGATAAAAAAAAACACATCTCTTTTCTTAAAAATATACCTTACTGGTATTTTTGCTATTTTCTTCGGGTTGCAGTGATAAAAATTTATAGTTTTTAATTGTAGCCACGGCTCTTGCAGGGGTTCGTGTTAGCAACGTCGTCAGGCTTGAGGCCCGTGAGCTCACCTACTAGTTCGGCGAACTTAGAATATACCCTTGAGGTTACTAGAATAGGTAGGAAAAAAAGCTGTAGGACTAACCGTAAGATCGTTTTAATCGATCCTCGTTATACAAACTAGTCCGTTTCTATGCAAGGTCGCTCAATTGAAATCGCTCGAAGCGATAAGGCTTCTGTTGTACTCATTTCAATTATACTCACTCAAAAAGGATTTTTGTATGTAATACGCGATTTTTATCAGAGTTAATAGTTATTATAATAGTAGTAATAATAGTAATTAGTACAGTCAATGGACTTCAACTAATTTCGTATAACGTCAATTGTAGGGCTGGTGACTAATCATGAAACTCATATTGTTTAAATTAAAATGGTAATGGTCGTTAGTAATCTTATAATGAGAGCTTTAATATGAAGATAATAATAATATTAAGGTACATAATAAAAAGGTTAAGAATATTGGTTAATAAGTAATGAACAGGATTCTCTCTCTATTGCACCGTGCAGCTAAGAAGGCAATGTCGGCGAAGATTGTTCGAGAATGAAGTTAAGGTCGAATTGAATGTAATAAAATAAAGTAATACGAATGTCACCTAGCGTGACATGACCTTTGACATCGTTAAACTTAGCCTATCAGATCGACATTAAAATAGTTCTAACTCTAAAACAATAAGATGCATAGCTATATAATATAGGAAAAACTTATAAAACGTAATTTTTCATTTCAATTTTCTTTTTTCTAAGGAAAGTAGATAAGGTAAGGATAAGTAGATAAGGCTTCACACTAGATATTTATAATGCAATAGCAAACTGCAAATGAGTTCACGACCAACGTGTTCTTTAGTAGTTAACAAAGTTAATTGCAATCGTAGCGTAAATACCGAAAATTACCTTGAGGCTTGAGATAAAAGTTTCAATTTTATTGTATAAGCTTAATCACTTATTCTCCAAACTGGAACGCATAAGTGCTTCACTATGGAAACAGTTAAGACGGCTGTGCCTATCCATGCTAGTTCACATGACGCCCTAACTCTAGCAAAAGGAAATCGTAAGCGCCGTTTAATAAATAATATAAAATTACATTTACTAGTGGCCCCGCAGTAGTCGAGATTCGACTATAATTAATTGAAATTATAAGTTTAAACATTATTATGGTTCTATTGTGAAACACTTTTATATTTCGATAATATTATCACAGTATTCGCCATAACTGCGCTATAGATCAATAATATTAATGACAAACAATATTAATCTATTTTCAATTCGACCACAGACTTTAAACAATAACAAAAGTTTCCCAATTGACAGTAAACAAAGAGTATATTTTATGTATGTGTTGTGTCAAATATATGATAGTGTGCGTAATGTTTTTTTTATTTAATGTATCTCTTATGCACTATTTAAAAAAAAAAAAAAGCATTGTGCACTTCTTCTCTATATTCTCTGTAAGTGTGGAAAATTTCATATTTCTCCGTCCGCGCAATTTTCGTAAAAAGGGATACAAATATTACATAGATAATGTATAGATATTAGTTTACATTTTGCCTCTCGAGAGATCCAAGACAGGCTCGGGTATTCAAAGATTTCTCCGACTCTGCAGCTTGTCTGATCTTCACACCTTTCTTGGTTATTTTGAATGGGCTACTAGTTACAATGTCAAATCTAATGTGAAGGCATTGAAAGTGATCATTCAATTTTATCTTACGTAACGTGTTGGTAATGAAAATCACCTGATATTGAATTCCCTTTGAACGGAATTCTTATTAATGATACATTATTTGAAACGCAAGCTATTTGTTCATTTCTAAATATCGTAGGTTCTTTCTTTCTAGCTTTGATTGGGTATCAGGATTTAAGTTATGACATTTTAGTAATTAGTGTCAATGAAAGTTAAGATTGAAATTTGACTCTGAACGAGATAATTTTCAAATTAAATTTTATTACAACATACAAGTCAAAAAGTATTGGTATAATTAATATATATATTTTAATATTTTACTAACAATCACGCCACGTTAACTGGTCCCGTGATAAGTTCGTAAAGAACTTGTGTTACAGGTACCAGATAACGGATATAAATGTAACATTTTTACTATACACATACATATATTTCATTCATCGTTTATTGAAATGCATTCTTGTTGCGTCTCTTTCTTATAGGTATGTTGAGGTGGCCAAGAAAATGAATAAATGCGTTTACTTCTTCAAATACTCATTATATTATTTTTAATTATTTTACAAATATAGAATTGAAATGCGCGTCCATCTTTTTTTATTCGTGTAATATTTTTAAATTTTGACAATTGGTGCCACTATTAGACCGGTGTCGATAATTTTTAAAACCAAAAAAAATAATAGTAGTATAAAACCCATTACAAAAGGAGGGGAATATTATAAAAATGAAAGGAAAAATAATTTACGGGCGATCTGAGGTCTGGAAGGGGTTGGGGGGGGTAGGTTTAGGGTAAAAAACGGTTTTTCTCGATTTCCGGCAAAACTAAAAGTCCTATGGAAAAAAATCAAACGGCAAAGTTGTAGGTAACAAAAAGATCTAACACTTTTGTATTTACACTTTTTTCACATAACCTCAAAATTTAAGTCAAAAATTAAAAAAAACCAAGTTTTTGGTTTTTTATTTTTATCTTTTTCAAAAAAAAATCTTTTTTCACGAAATTTGCTGAAAACTTACCTTTTTATGTCCCAAATACGCTGTAATTTATTTGATTAGAAATATTTATTTTTTCACCTTATTTTGTATTAATATCGAAAAAGGACCCTAATTTTCAATCGAAAATTCACCCGTCAAAATATCAGCTTTTTTCNTTTCTCTCATTATTGTATTTTCATATATTTGTTAGTCGTTTGTTTTGTGTCTCGTTAATTTGTTAATAATCTGTAGTGTATCGTGTTGTCGTAATATAGAACTATTTCTCGTATTGTTTCGTTTAATTTTTTATATCCAGTAAACTCCAGTCGTGCGTCGGAGCGGACACACACACTTTTTTTTTTTTATTGCCCTTGTAGGTGGACGAGCATACGGCCCACCTGATGGTGAGTGGTTACCGTCGCCCATGGACTTCAGCAATGCCAGGGGCAGAGCCAAGCCGCTGCCTACCGCTTAATACTCTCCACAAGCCTCGTTTGAAGAAGGACATGTCATAGCGCTCGGGAAACACCGTGGAGGGGAGCTCATTCCATAGCCGGAACATTGACGGAGACCGCGCTACCGTGGACATTATTGTAGTCCCAAAGGATTCTGTTTAAGGGAGAGTAAACACCTAAATTCGAACGAGCGGGCTTCCTTATAAAAGTTTAAACATTATTATGGTTCTATTGTGAAACACTTTTATATTTCGATAATATTATCACAGTATTCGCCAATACTGCACTATAGATCAATAATATTAATGACAAACAATATTAATATATTTTCAATTCGACCACAGACTTTAAACAATAACAAAAGTTTCCCAATTGACAGTAAACAAAGAGTAGGTATATTTTTATGTATGTGTTGTGTCAAATTCACGGTAGTGTGCGTAATGTTTTCTTTACTGATTTAATGCATTATTTTATGCATTATTTTAAAAAAAAATAGTATTCTGCACTTCTTCTCTATATTCTCTGTAAGTGTGGAAAATTTCATACTTCTCCGTCCGCGCAATTTTCGTGAAAAGGGATACAAAGTTTTTGCTTCACGTATTAATATATAGATATTAGTTTACATTTTGCCTCTCGAGAGATCCAAGACAGGCTCGGGTATTCAAAGATTTCTCCGACTCTGCAGCTTGTCTGATCTTCACACCTTTCTTCGTTATTTTGAATGGGCTACTAGTTACAATGTCAAATCTAATGTGAAGGCATTGAAAGTGATCATTCAATTTTATCTTACGTAACGTGTTGGTAATGAAAATCACCTGATATTGAATTCCCTTTGAACGGAATTCATATTAATGATACATTATTTGAAACGCAAGCTATTTATTCATTTCTAAAGTTCGTAGTTTCTTTCTTTCTAGCTTAGATTGGGTATCAGGACTTAAGTTATGACATCTTAGTGATAAGTATGAACGAAAGCTAACAATGGAGTTTGACTCTGAGAGATACCTAATTTTCAAATTCAATTTTGTTACACCATACAAGTTCAAAAAGTATTGGTATAATTCACCGTTTATTGAAATGCATTCTTGTTGCGTCTATTTCTTATAGGTATGTTGAGGTGGCCAAGAAAATGAATAAATGCGTTTACTTTTTCAAATACTCATTATTTTATTTTTAATTATTTTACAAATATAGAATTGAAA